AATGTTTCTGTGTCACATGGTGGCACCTGGAGGTGGATGCCGGAACTTACCTTTTGACTACCTATTTACTAGGTGGGGAGTAGGTGCAATTGTTTTAATTAGCTTTAATTGATCGGAGATCATAGCTTTCGTTTCTTCGAACTGGTCTAAGCAGTTTTCGTACATTGCGTAAGCCGAGAATTTGATTGTGTGATTGAGCCGCTTGGAGACGAGTCCAATAATTCTTAAGATTTTCATTTCGATTTCAGAGTTTTCATTAATCGGTGAAGAGGCAAATGTAGCGCAGTTTCTTAATAAAACGTTACTTTGTGAAATGAATTTAACAACCTGTTTTGAGCGTGTAGCTCCTACAGGTGTATTTTGGTTATTGTTGTTATGAACCATTTTTGCAAAATAATAGTATTTATTTATATTTTAGTTTGAAAATATGGTAAATGTTCAGGAGAGCGGCTTTTCCGAAAACGTGCACCATTTTTCACGGGAAATGCCTTAAAATACTCATTTTTAATTCTACTTTACGAATATGTATGCCTTTAAAAACTACATTTTCTTTGTTTTAATACAAAAACATCGTATTTCCCGAAATTAAAAAGTCACTTTTGCACTTAATACACCTTTAGATGTTAAAAATACATTTTCTATCAATTATATACACGTAATTATTCATTTTTTATCAATAAGAGAAATTATTTTTATGTTATTTTTACAAAAATATAAAAAACTTCGCAATCACTTCACTTCAACTTAAATTGCAAACTTGTGTTCGAAATTATATCATCGCTGTTGTAAATTCTAATGGCCACTCTTGATTCATGCACTGATCGTTTTCGAATTATCGATACACTCAATATTCGAGACTGGTCGAGAATTGGTAAAAACGAGAAATATATAATAGGAAAATTTATAATGCATTATTATTGCAGAAAGAAGAAGAAGTTGGACACAGAAAAATTACGAACACCGTCCGTTCATCGGAAACACCTAGACATATTTTTGCTTGTGAGCGGCATTTTTGGGCAAAAATGCGCCTTGAAAAGCAATTGCGTTCGGGGGCCGTTCCCGATATAAGTTTAAAAGTTGAGCCTACATTTGACATCCCAAATTCTAAATTAAAAAAAAACAATTTTATTGGGTCTAGAAGATTTTTCTCCCCAAGTTGAAGAAGCTGTCTCAAATGCACAAAATACATCGAAGCAGCTTTTTCCAAGAATTGAAAATGAAATTGAAGATGGAATTTTTTGAGGAGGATGTATCTTTTAATTTTGATAAGGCCACGCAAACAGGTAGGGGTCTGACCGCAGGTACAGAAAGGAAGAAGAAATTGAGAGGTGTTGAAAATAAAGTTAGGTGAAAAAGAGCAGGAAAAGAGAGTTTAAAGGCTTAGTTAGTTGAAATGGTCACAGAGTTAGAAATATGAAGGGAATAGCTCATTTAGGGAACAGTCAGACCCTCTTTCTTTAGTTTGTAGTAAAGTTCCTCCTCAGTTAGGTGCTTGCATTAGGAGTAGTTTAAAAATAGTAATTGCCGTACCCATGGTCTACGATACGACAATTTTTTTGAAACGATAGCTTTGGGTGTATTTTTCTATCGCCAGTTGCTTATCGGCACTTAAAGCACCAATTAGATTTTCCATCCGAAAGTACTTTGGAAAACTTTGTTACAGACTGGCCCGGTTCCCAAGTTGCACCCAAAGTAGCATAAAATCTTTAGAGATTAGGAGTATGGGATTCAGTTTCGAACAAAAGTTCGTATCAGTTTCATGTGATGAAATGTCACTGAAAGATCATTTGCAGTATGATAGGAAATTCGATTGGGTGATAGGTATTGAGGAATATGGCGATGAAAATCGCACTTCTAGATTAGCAACTACTGCAATGACTATAATGGTGCAAGGTATAGGTGGAGTGCCTTGGTCCCACCCATTGGATTATTTTTTCGTAAAAGATTCCTGCAAAGGGGTTGTTCTCAAGAAATACATTCTTGAAGCCATTGCGCAACTGCAAAATATAGGACTAATTTCTTGCCATTTTGTTTGCGACCAGGGCACCAATTTTCAGAATTTCGCTAATTTGTTAGGTGTTTCAGCGTCACGGCCTTTGTTTAATGTTAATGGCAAGGAAGTGTATTTATTTACTATAGCCCACATTTGATAAAAAGTAGTCGTAACTGTTTACAAAATTTAAAAAATACAGTTTTCTGTAAAAATTGTCGGGTAAGCTGGTCGGATATTGTTCATTTTTATGAAACCGACTCTAAGTCGAGTTATCGGTGTGCCCATAAATTAACCGATGCTCATATTTATCCAAATACCTTCCAAAAAATGAAGGAGAAATTCGCGTCTCAAGTATTGAGTAATACGGTGTCCCTATATAGCTCGGGAGCCTTAAGCTCGAATAGTAGGAGCTTTATTAATACCGCGGAATTCGTTTCGTTTTTTAATAAATTATTTGATATTTTGAATAACAGTTTCGTTGAGGCTGTTGTACCCACTAAAAAAGTGTTTGTAGGTTCCCCTGAACAATTAGAGTTTTTAAATGAGGCGGAACAAGTTTTAAAAACTATTCGAGTCGTAGACGATTTAGAAAGCAACACAACCAATTTTACGTTACGTTACGTTATGTAAACGTCGTAACAAAAGGAAACTGTGAGCTGCCTTTAGAACCTGATGCTACAGTAATTTCGGAACATAGTAATAATGTTCTACTTAATGTGTGTAATGATTCACTATTGAATGACCTTTCTTAGCACGATTTTCAAGGTTTACCACGGCCTGAACCCTCCCTTCTTAGATCAATCGCATTAGATAGTAGATTAAAAATTAATTTTTTGAAAGAAAATGCGTTTAGCTACTTTTGCGGCTATTTTTATTTCAAAATTTTCAAACTGCACACATGTTCTCGGCCTTTACCATATTTAGTAGATGAAATTCCTTCAGACGAATTCATTGTCATGCTTCAAAATCAAATAGACAAATGCAACTTAGTGAAGCCGCCTGAGGATTTTATTGCATTTGTAAATATTTTGGAAACAAAATTTTTAGAAGAAAGCTCAGAGAATCTAACAATTTTCTGAATGCAGGCTTTAGACTGTGTTAGTAAAAATAATAAAATTGAAGTAATATCAAACTATCAGAGGGTTTAACTTTACTGAGTACTTATAATATAACAGTACTTGTAATTTATTTAATAAAACCTGAAAATTGTTTTCTTGCTTTTTTGGAGACTCGAAGCTTTCACCGTTTCACTTTTTTCATTAAATATGCTGTTGGAACTAGACGAACAAACTGCGATCGTAAGGAAAGCTAAACAAAAAAATAAATATGGTGTATGAAAGATTTAGTAAAGCTCGCAAAAGCGTTTTTTCACACATACAAATTTTGTCATATTAAATTAAGTTAATATCAATCTTTAAAGGGTTTATTACAATGACTCATAATATAATAAAATATTCTGAAGGAAAGCTCTGATGAAAATTTGCAAAGCTTTTTTCCTTGAGTGCAAATTTGTAATGCAAAACTTAAGTAGTATTAATCTATTATTCTGCATATTACTTTGAGTGATATTACTAATAATATAATCCATGAAAATTATTTTCGTGTTTTTTTCGAGCTTGAGAGCTTTCACATTTTCTTTCCATTTTTTTTTAATAAATAAGCATGCAAGGAGAATTAAGAACAAATAAAAATAATATGAATTCATAAGTATAGTTCACCGATAATAATAACTTTTTGCATGAAAGCTTTTGTGAAAGCTCGCTACAACTTTTTTTCTAGAGTGCAAATCTCTCAGAGGACTTTACTTCACTTTTGAGTATTTATATTAAATTTGCAGTAGTTTTTGTGAAATTCTTTGAAATGTGTTCAATTTATCGCATCAGCGAAATGCGCGTAAGAGCAGAAGTTTACACACATATGTATGTACAAGAGTCTCCAGAGAGATTCCTTCTGTTACACAGAGCTGTCCGCAAACGTCACACCACATATGCACACACATATTTTTTTTTTTATGCATGTGTGCGTTGATAACTGTAAACGTGCCACATTTTGTGAACATTTGATCTGTGTAGTTAGCTTCACGTGTCGAGTATTTTTCTACGGATTGCATTTCACTGTGAAACCCGCCGGCGCAGGCCTCAATATTTGCTGTTGCTTGTTGTTGGCTTGCGTTTTTTTTTGCTCGTTTTTCTTTCAATTTTCATTTTCATTGTCATTTTTAGCAATTTTCGGTTTGTTTTTGCTTTCTTATTTGCTTCGGTTATTTTGTATATCCTTTGCCGCGGACTCCTCTGCGTCAACACTGTCCATAGGGCATGCAAACAACACCAACAGCAACACGAATACAAACACACACAGTTGGTCAGTAATTGGCATAAAATAGCATTAGGAGATATTCTTTTTAATAAAATGAAAGATGTTAGGCCCTTTTTGTGTTGTGATAATTGTGACCCTAAAATAGTTATAGCCCTTTTTATTAGAATAAGAATATATTTTTTAACTAAATTTTTAAATAAAGACCTTTCTGTCCCTAATTTTAAAAATAAAATTTTGTGTGTTTCACACCTATAGGTTACACTTTTTTTTTATTTTTTAGTGGTTACAATAAACTTAAACTTACGATAGAAAATAAAAAARTAAAAATTTTGTAAACAGTTAGGATAAAGAGGCTCTAAAATAAGAAATCAATTTTTTCAAAATTAGATGTATTATGTTACTGTGATGTTTTTATATATTTTTTATATGAATTGTTATTGTTTTGTTTTAATCGTTATAATTTTATCGTTTTTTTTTCGTTATACACTAATGAATTGTTATCGTTTTGTTGATTTATGTAAATAAATTTATTAATGGGTGATATAGGCCTAAAGGGGAACCAAGCACCCAAAACTAACTTCGGTAACGCACCGTTTTGCATACCTCCTGGGTGGTGTGGAAAGTACAATTGGGCATTTTAATTTAAATGCCCAAAAATTCTTATTTTGTTCGATCTGGCCATTTAGATTTAGTTATTTTCGGAAATTACGAGAACTTTTGCCTTTGAAAATTAATTAAGTTTTAATAATTTGATATGTCGTACCCAGTGTAGGATATGCTATTATATGCTGTTTCATAAATAAACTTGTTTTGTTTTTGTTTGGTAATTTCTTGGCAGATTGTATGCCTTATGCTTGAATATACTTGTACTTATATTTCTTCGCACAGGCGAGAGAGAGAGAAAACGGAATGGAAAAAAGGTATTCTCGTTAAAAAATTACGTAGGCTCTTTTGTATGTAGGTATGTGCATGAATAGAATATTATTTTTTGCCTTTTATTGTTTTTTTTATGTTTATTTGTCTAATTTATGTTGTATATTAACCATATGTGCGTAATATGCAACAATAATAAATGGAAACGATACAACTCACTGTATCTTCCCGCAAGGGTGTGCGAGTTTTATTGCCAATTCCTGTATTCCTCCTCTCCTGCAGTCTTTCAACAGCCTGAGTTCTTGTGCGTGTTGTTGTTTGTAGATGTGTTTATATATTTCTAAGTTCACGCCCGTTTGTTTATTGTATTTATGTATGTATTTTTATAGATTTTTCGCCCGGTTTGTGTTGTTTTTTGTTATTTGGGGGCTTTAACTTTTCGCTGTTTCGTTTTAACTGTATATAGAGACATATTTGATTTATATGTACATACTGTATGTTGTTTGTGTATGCACATATTTTGAGAGCCGCTTTGTGTGTGTCACTGCACTTTGTCTATTCGTTTTTTTTTTTTTGGTTGTCACTACACTAGTTCATATGTTTTCGTTTCTGTCACTTCACCTCTTTTCTCCACTATCGTGAAACTTTATATATTTTTTGTGTAAGTACGAATGCATGTCATATTTTTTAGTAAGAATCTTGCACTGCACACTCTTGTTCTTTGTACTCGTATTACATAAAGGTATATCTTAATTTGTTTTGTCTATTTTATTTTATTTTATTTATTTATTATTATTTTATTTTTTTGTTCTGTTTGAACCACTGCACATTGGTTTTTTTTTCCTCCACGGCACTTTATGCATGTATATAATTCACTTTCATTTTTGCACTTCGTTTGGTTTCTGCCACCAAAATTTTTCATTATTGTTTGTAATTTGTCTGTTAAAAACCAAAGGTGCTTTTCGTTAAGGCTCGAAGGACTAGGTTTACAATGTATATTGGATATATTGGAGAGCACTCACCACTGCGACAAATTAAATAAAATCCCTCAGTTTCAACTTCCGGTATTAAAGGGTACAACACTCACTCTATCCCCCACAGCTAAATATTTGGGGGTGGAGGTTGACACCAAACTGTCCTGAAAAATAAAGAAAGAAGAGTAAACAAAGTATACATGGCCTACTGTACTTGTAAGACAATCTTCAAAAAGAATTGGGGCCTCAAACCAAGTATAATCATGTGGTTGTATACGGCTGTCATAAAATCTATACTTACATATGGAGCTCTGGTATTGTGGCCAGCGCTAAACAAACAATACAATATTAAACAAGTAAGGAAG